ACAAACACGAGCTAACTGATTACCTTTCAGGTAAGTATGGTATTCAACCCAACGAGAAACCTTTGGACTGGTGGCGGGTGAGTCTTTTTCTAGCTTTTCCTTTTCTTGATACTAACGTAAAGCTTGAACACAGAAACACGAAAAGAAATTGCCAGTCCTTGCCTCGATTGCAAGGGATTACTTGTCAATCTCAGCCACTACGTGCTGTTGTGAACAATCATTTTCGTCAGCTGCAGACGTGGCTGCTCCTGGACAAGGATCCATACTCCCCAATACAATAACCCGTAAAGTAGGATGTAGAGAATGGATCAAGAATGGGATTGTACCCGCGGACAAATTTGAAGAAGCGGTCAAATACTTGAAGGAATGTGAGGATTCTGTGAAGAAGAAATTAAAGAAGAAGTAGTATTCTATCCTCTCTACCTTTTTGTTTTCCTTTTTTTTCCTACTTGTGGATTGATCTCTACTTTCTTTGTTCTCGCTCATCAATTTTTTGATTTATGTCTTTTTTCAATGTTGTCACTCATTAATGTTACAATTTATGTCTTTTTTCTCATCTCTTTTTTCTCATTCCTTGTTAATTATTTTGTGTCTCTCATGAAAATGGCTTATTTCAGTGTTTTTTGTTACAAATATCATTTTTTCTGAGTTTTTCTATACTTTGATTGATGGTCTTAACAAAGGAACGACTTACGACTTAGTTCCATGATACAGTTTCGCGGAGAGAGGGAAAACCCATAACCGTAGGCAAAGTTTTTCACAGAGTGAATTTGGGAGTTGCATAAGCAAACCAAATTCCTCACTCTCTCAACACATCATCGAAACTCAATCCATTCTCAAGGTGGAAATAACTGAATATTTAAATTTAATTCAACTTAAGTTTTAAAATTTTCAAGAAAACAAGACTTAGACCTAGAAGATGACATCTTTCGACATAGAGTTGAAAAACACACAAGACAAACTTAAGGCAGCCGGAATAAAGATGAAGAAAACAGGAGCAAGAGAGAACGGAGCCAAGGTTGAGGAAAAGATTTGTATTATAAGTAACAAGCTTAGTAATACAACCTAAGTAAGAAAGTTTAAACCAAGATAAGATTTGGTAGGAGAACAAAACATTTCTTACACATCCCTTACCCAAGAAGTAAGGAACTGTAAGAATGGAACCGCGATGACCACAATCTGAGCTTCATGTGATCATTGCGATACTGTATGTTACGGTCGCACCGTACCAAAGCCGGTTATTGGCTACGGTCGCCCACCCATTACGGTACGACATGGGCGGTCTGAGTACGGTTGACTGTAACGTTTTGAGTTATCCATAACGTTACAGTAGATTACGTTGAGGTCCGAACGTTGATGGTGTGCTACACTCTCTATGAGGCTCAGTTATACGGGGAATCAACACTTTGTTGAGTTTTTCATTCCATTCTCCCAAGACTCAGTAATCATGAAGTTTTCCTCCCGTACGCTCACAAACAATAGCACTTTGATTAATTGAAACAGAAAATTGAAAAAGATTAAAGAAAGGTGTTCCCAATATCATGTCAAATTCACCGCCCACGTCCCCCAGCTTGCAATATGTTCTTTTGAATTGCTTCCCTGAGGTAGGTTCCAGCAGATCAATGGTCGTGAAGTGTGTCAGGAGTGGAGAGGGGGTGTTGGTATTGACAGCGAGGCTGAGTTGGGTTGGCTTGACTAGTTTGTGTTGTTCCAGCTTAAGTTGCTCCGCAGCCTGTTCTGTTAACAGATTCACCTCGGCTCCAGGGTCAGCCAGCGCCTTCAACTTCTTGCCATTGTGTAAGAATTCAATGATAACTTGTGGGGGTTTGAGAGAAGGAACACACCCATCTGCTTTGGCAAGGTCAAGCTCCTTGTCCAATGCTTGTAAAGCGGCTACTGAAGCTTTGTCTAGGTCTGGGAACTCTGATGCCGCCGCTGCCCTTGCATAAGTTTGGGCCGATTGGCCAGAAGGTGGTGGAGTGCTCTGTCCTGCCTGAAGCTGGTTGGATGGTGGTGAAGATCAAGCTCTTGGCGGAATGTAGTTTGCCGGCTTTGGTGGCGCTACGTAACCCGGTGGAAATTGGACCTTCTCTCTGACATAAGGTCCCTTACAGGCTTGGTATTCACTTCCACAATACCCTTTACAAAAATGACACTTGCCCAACTTGTCAAGGTAACAATGAATCTTCCACGTAAATTCTTCATTGGTCAAACACACGGAGGTGTTTGATGTGGTGACTCGAGAACAATTGTAAGGTTGAGAGGTGAAATTGGCCATCCTAGACTTCTTTGTAATGACATGAGAGGCAACGCCGGAACCAATCCGATACAATCCAATATATCTGGGCTTTTTGATGTCGCATCGGGACACCGATATATTTGAACCAACTCCCGATATGACATGAAAAAAAATTTTGGGCCCCGGCTGATGTCGTATCGCTAAAGCAATAGAAGCCAATACGACATGACGCTGAAAATGGGCTCACAGGGAACACAGTACTGATTTTTTTGTAGTCAACATGAAAGCAATTAAACTATTTAATATAAATAATATTTACAAAATAGAGAAGCCATCATTTTTTATTACTGCCTTGCCTCACTAGATACTTTTCAATTAATTCAGAAGCCGCAGAAAACTCTTCTGGAGTGGCCACACCTGCTTTGATCCACTCTCTACAGCCTACAGCCTTCTCCATTGTGCTTGAGTTAAGGCCACCACGATCAGGCTGGCAGACATCTGCTGCCGAGGAAAATGTCCTTTCAACGGGACAAGTGGTCCCCGAGCATGCAAGATAGTCCTTTGCAAGTGCTGCAACCAATGGGAACCACTTCAAGGTATCCTAATTTGCCACAAATCAACATCAGTGACAAGAAGAGAGAAAACTAGACTAAGATGAGATCACACTCACCTGCCACCACATCAAGATGCACCCGTCCTTATAAGGATATTTTGCACCAAGATATAGCTCTAATTCATCTGATCGATTGACGGATGCACGTGTTTCTGAAGGTCCAAAGAGATTGTTGTCATCTTGATCGTTAGCAGTTGGATTTGCATTCTGTGACGTTGCTTTTGCTGATGAAGTGATCTCGATATCTTTTTCTGACGATTCCACTTTATCTTGAAAGGCTTTTTCCAACAATTTTCGAATTCGAGGGACCTCGACAGGATAATAATGTTCAAAAAACTTAAGACGCTTGCTCGGATTGAGGACTGTAGCCATGACAAGAGTATCACAGCCAAGAGCCTCCTTATGATACCCCGCAAGTTTGTTTTGCATTACCCCAATCATCTTGTGTAAGCTTTTGTATTGAGTTTCAGCCTCCACCTTCTCCAAAGACTTCTCCATTCAACGATACTCGGACAGGACAACGTTGGACCGGTTACGTTTTTTTCAACGTGTAACGTGTCGCCCCGTAACTGGTTTACGCTATCGGTCAGGGCCGTTTTTTGTAACGTACTTACAGGTACGTTAGCCAGGTATGTCACAGTAATTTTTTTTGTGAAAATACGTTAGCATCCTTGTGACAGCCCTGGTTTTGAATTTCGGTGCGTTACATGTGGATCCACCAAGAACCTCCGTTATCGGTGATCGTCCTCCATCATCATGCTGAATCAACCATTAGGACACCTCACCATCATGTACGATGATGATGTGACCAACTGGTTGCATCATCAACTCATTCGACAAACCCCCACCCGGACGAAGATGACCGAGTCAGATGTTTTCAGTCCTACCCCCAATGTAAGTGTCGCTTTCATCAGAATCCTCCTCATTTTTGTTATGATTTGATTCCCATACTTTGATTGATTTTCTTTTGATTCCTGATATCCCTCCAATAACCAGATTGCAAGTGACCTCTTCTCTTCTATCATTTCCTTCTTTTCTATCATTTCCTCTGTATCTTTGCTGAGAATCAATCCTAATATCACTTTCAATTTGATTTATCCCCTGATTTCAATATCTAGATATCTCGATCGGTTTCTACAAGTCTCAACTCTATTTCTAATCTCATCTTTGTCAACATGTGTGGAGACTCTGGATGCGAGACCGAATCCTCCCAACCCCGTCGCACATCTCGCATTACTACTCCTGTTCGATTGGAACTCGGTATGATTCAACCATCACACACTACAAGAAAGATAATATTTTCTGGGCAGAAAATTAAATTATTGATACACAAAAATATTGAGAGGCCAGGAGGAGAGCAAAAAAAGAAAAAAAAAATGCATCTTGTTCCCCGCGTTGAGAACTTCACTCTGCATATTTTTCCGTATTTTTACAGTCCATATTGATAAGTGTACTAACAATAAACCTCCACAATCATCCAATTACAACCTGTAACAAGCACTGAAATTTGGCTCATTAGTGTTTAGAGAAACTTTTGATTTCTGAAAATACTCATAACTTTTTCAATTCCGGTCCAAAACGCTCGATTTTGGGTGCATTGGTAAGCTGGAATTGTCCTCCAAATAGCTCATAATAGGACCACACAGCATGCTGGTCTGCTAAAAAAGATATCACCTTTTTTATACCTTTGTACATACAGATCCATAGAATGATTGGCATACTAGCTACATAGTTCTTGATCTTATGAAAGTTCGAGAGAAAGAGTTCAGCTTTCTAATGCACTTAAAATCGAGTGTTTTGATGCAGATTTGACAAAGTTATAGGTGTTTTCAGGTATCAAAAGTTTCTCTAAACACCAATGAGCCAAATTTCAGTGCTTGTTACAGGTTGTAATTGGATGATTATGAAGGTTTATTGTTAGTACACTAATCAATACGGACTGTAAAAATATGGAAAAATATGGAGAGTGAAGCTCTCACCGCAGGGAACAAGATGCATATTTTTATTTATTTTTTGCCCTTCTCCTGGCCTCTCAATATTTTTGTGTATCAATAATTTAATTTTCTGCCCAGAAAATATTATATTTTGTGTAGTGACAGGATGGTCGCCGTGCTCTTTTTCTTCCATCTCCTCAACTACCTCCTTCGAATGGAAGCTCAGCTCCCAATCCAACTGGCCGCAAACGAGCCCGATCCACCTCTAGATCCGACTGCGAGACTGTTGTGAGTCACATCGCCCCCAAACAGGCTGATCGATCCAACCGAAGTGGTATCGAAAGAATGAAGACTGTCAGGCAGAAAAATACCTCATTTCCCCAAACAAAAGGAAAGAAAGTAAGTCTGTTACCCCACGACAATTTCCCAGTCTCAAATTTAACATTTAGATTTGTTTATGTTTTTGGTAGGCTATTCCCACCGCTTCTACAGCCACCTCAGGAACTTCCAACCAAGCCGAAGTGAGTCCTTGATCTTGATGATCATCTCAATCTATGTATCGGTCTTCCTCAAAGACTGTTTTGTATTTTTTTTAGAGCGTCGCTCCTTCGGTACCAAGCCAAGGCCCTTCCGCTAACCTGCGCCAAGACTCTGACGATGAGAACGCTAGGATTCGTAAAAAATCTAAGACTTCTCAATCAAAGACTTCTCAACCCACTGGCGACAAGCAGGACGTCTATGATGATGTTGAATTATACTATGGTGAACCAACTTGTGGTCCAGATGATGTAAGAATTGTCTTTTTCGTTTTACATCATCTCACAGCTCTCCTCCCAGATCTTTTTTTTCACTCTCTATTTTCAAATGATTTTCTTTCTGAAGTTTAGCTGAACCAATACTTGAATCGATGTAGGAGCCGGATTGCCCGTGTGACTATCTATGTCTTTGGTGTGGAAAGTTATGCCGAGGTCATGGAACAACTCGATCGAACCTGAAGATTCACCGCGATGGGTCCAATCAACCTGGAAGATCCAAGCTCGGTTTCCCTAAACGCAAGGAAGCCATAGCGCGCGGCTGCAAGCTACCTCCGAGTGTCGCCGAGGTGCAAGCCAAGAAATTAGCAAACACCCATCAAGTTTCGACCATGAACAACTTCGTCACCGTCACTCCTAAGTTTGATATGTTGGTATTCAATCGTCTCTTGACTCTATGGCAGGTACGGCAAGCCTTGCCATGGACTCGAATAGAAGACCCGCTTCTTCAAGCGGCTTTCTATTACGCTCGACCTGATGCCCGCCTTTACAACCGTAAGTGGACCGCAAACGAGGCGAAAAACCTCCATCTTAATTTAAGAGACTCGGTTTATAGTGAGCTGGAAGTGAGTAGATAACCCAATATATTTAGATTTGACAAATATACTAATAACTTTGTTCATTCTTTGTCTTACATATTCATGTAGTCGATTCCAGGTAAGTTCACATTGACCCACGATGTTTGGACGGTGAAAGGGAACTTGTGGGCTTTCATAGGCGGTGTTGCTAGCTATATCGACGAGGACTGGAATTATGTGTCACATCATCTCACCTTAAAACGAGTTGCTCATCATCATAAGGGTGCTTGGCTCGCCGAGCCGCTGGTTACTGTACTGAAGAAACGAGGTATCTATAAAAAGATAAGTATTTTATTCATTTGTTTTCTATATTTTCTATCTTTCTCCTTTCCTCTGGCCTGACTTCACTCTTTTTGATGTAGTACATGCTAGCTCATACTACTGATTCAGCATCAAACAATGTGACATTGGCCACTGAGATGCATCATCAACTTCAAGAACACGACGGGTATTCCTCAGATTACTCGTGGGATCCTGAGACCATGCACATCAAGTGCATGTGTCACAAGATCGGTCTCATTGTCAACGCAGGAATAGCTGCCCTCGGTCTTCCAACTAACAATCAACGACATGAAGTGCTCGGTTTCTTTCCTTCACCAGAAGACTTACCGACCATTGATGAAAACGATGATCAAGAAGAGATTGAACCAGCTATTCTAGTTGGTTCTTCACCCTCAGAAGAAAACAAGTCTGATGTTGAACATGATGAAGATGAATTGCACGATTTAGAAAAAAAAGAATTTCAAGATCTTGAGGACGATTATTGGGATATGGAGGCCATTGATATTGTACCTAAGCCAACCAAAACAAAATCGAATGGTTTGAAAGTATTGACTCAAGATGTTTGTAATTTTATTCCTTCTCATATGTTTTAAATCGAAGCTGACACCTTTTCCTATTTTAGCTTGACTTTGTTGTCAAGAAGATCACATGATCCTCTGCGTGGCGCGAGGACTTTAACGCCCGTCGATTGGATCCGAGGCGAAAGCGACCAGATGGTGAAGGTCCAGGACGCTCTTTGATTGCCGGTCACGGTATCCGTTGGAACATCTGTCTGGACAGATGGGAGCGAATGTATGAGAATCGAGATGTATGTTATCCCGCTTAGTTTCAGAAGCTTTTTTCCGGTACTGAACCGTTGGTCATGCAGGTCATCGATGAGATGCTCAAAGAAGATGCGGCTAAGTCTCAAGCGAAGAAGTCCAGAAATTATAAGAGACCTTCCAAAAAAGCCTCTGGATATTTTCAAGAGACCTTCTTCTCCATCTCAGACTGGAGGAATGTAAGAGACTTACTTGATGAAATGCGAGTAAGTACCTTTGTCTTTCACACTACATTGAGCACCTGATTGATTACTGACTTGAGTTTTTTTGAACAGCCATTCAAGACTCTGACGAAGCGTATGGAGGCCAATGCACCAACTGGTTGCATGGTCCTTGCTGAATATCAGAATCTACTTACTTCTTTGACAGCACGATCTGCTGCGATTCCATATGACGATCGCATGCAACCATTCTTGAAAGCTTGTATTGAACAAACCAAAGTTTACTATGACGAAGCCCTCCATTGCAATACACTTCTCATGGCCGCTGTTTTCCATCCGTCCCTTCGATTACGGTTTTTCGAACATACCCTTGGAAGCGATCATGCGATAACCACCCACACAAGTGATTACCTTAACAATCAGTTTACTCATCGCCAGTCTGAACTACAACTAGATCATCCATCTAAATCACCTCAAAGTCCTCAACTTGAAACCCCGGAAACTCATGTTCCCGATATATATCGACTGTATCAGACTCAATCTAACTCATCAGTGGCTAATGAGTTGGAGCGTTACTTGAAGGGCGACGACCCATTGGTTTTGTCGGGTGTCAATAATGGTCCTGAGTCCGTTCTTAAATGGTGGAAGGTAAGTGAAATTCAACAAATCAACTGATTTTCATTTAATTTCACTGATGCTCTTTGCCCGTCTCATCTTCAGGAACATCAAGATAAGTATCCTGTCCTGGCTTCCTTAGCACGGGACTACCTATCGGCCCCAGGTTCTTCAGCTGCAGCTGAGCGAACTTTTTCAGCTGCAGCTGATGTCGCTACTGCCGTGCGAGGTCGTTTGGCGCCTCGCACCATTGAGATGTGCGTGGGTAGTCGCCTGTGGCTACGCGAAGGGGTTGGCATTACCGATGATTATGAAGAAGTTGGTTTGGTCATCCAAGCTTGGGAGGAATCGGTCAAGAAGAGAAAAGGGAAACAAAAGGCTCCCCCTTAGCTTATGCCTTCAATTGAATCGATTGCACAAATCTCACATAAAATTTTCTCCTTTCTCAACGTTTCATGTATTTTCTCAGCTTCACAGATAAAACTTAATTATTTCAAATAAGAACTCTTTTTTTTCAATCTTGTGATCAAAAAAAATTGTTATATTTCTTTGCTTCTTTTGGTTGAACCACTTTTCTGACCGAAGATCTTTTTTTTAATGTTTTTTTTCTTTTTCTGCCTGCTTTTGCTTGTTTGGCCGTTGCGTTCCGACTTTTTTGCGATCACCTCCGTTGCGTTTTTGTTTGTCCCGGTTCTCCAAAAATTTGTATTGTTGCGCTCAAAATGAAATCTGACAGCCTTGTGTTACGTTATCACATCGTGATAATGCCCTTTAAAATTTGACCGATACATTGGCCAATAACGTGTGAGTAACGTAATTTAGCGTAACGGTCCAACGTTGGACAGGACACGTGCTCCTGTCGGACTATCCCCTTCCATCATGAGGTTAGACGAGAGGAATATCTGAAAACATAGAAACAGATTATATGAGTGAGAGACGGAAACAGAGACAAAAACATCTACATACATCTAGGACAGTATTTGAAGCCCTTACAGTGGCCCATTCGCTCTGGGTGATAGTCATCTCATCAAACAGATGACTATCAGCACTTCCCAGCATCTGTGTCACAGTCTGAAAGGCAGAAAGACACATTATGAACTTGATACAAGTTTCATGACAGATGAGATGAATTTAAACGTACCTCTTGCGTGTCGCAGACCTTTTGACGAGACTGGACAGCTGCGTTCCAACGTATTCCATACCCAGCTGTTATTGAACCTTGCCCGTCTCACCGTGCTTTGAAGAGTGCTCGTAGTGCCGCACTTGAACAAACAAGACGTGCAAATAGATCAACCTGGAAATGAGATGGTGGATCAGCCAGCAGCAATTACAATTGGTTAGATTAAAAAAACCTACTTTCTTGACTCCCTGTACAACTAAGTCAGGTTTCCATCTACTAGTCACCACAGGCGGTAATCGGGAGGTGCTGTCCTCTTCGCACTTGGAGTCGGTGTCACCATCACGATCCCCACCGATATCTTCTCCATCTTCAAGATAGTCGACTGGTTTGTTGTTGTTAGGGTCATCAGTAAAGTTGGCCAATTCATCGAGTGCCAGAGATGGAGCCGGAATATCACGTCCAGGAGTCGTGGTTGGTTTGGTATGGCCAGGATCAATCTCGATGCTCCTCAAGCCTGCTTTGACTACCAGCGCCAGCTTGTGTGCATAACACCGCACATGGTTGGCCTTCGCATCCCACTCAACAGGATTCTCACCTTCTCCAAAGATACGTGACATTTCAACCGCCATAGTATTGTTGTTAGCGCCTGAATCAGTTGTCTGCGCAAGCATGTGGATAAAATCCAAAAACATAAATCATTATGTTAGCCTCATGTATGTACTTACTATGACATTAACAAGACAAAAACGATTGATAAATTCAACAAAAGAGAAAACTACTTATTTTCTTGTGTAGGCCATGACAAACAAGAAACCGACCCTGAGGACAAGCAAGTAGAACCCCATAATGGTTCCATGTCACCAGCTTGAGGGTGAGATGTCAGATCTGATACTTCCAGTTATGATCAATGTACAACACACTGGCTCCAATGAATGCATGTCGTCGTCCTTTTGTTGTCCACCCGTCGTGCATAAGACAGAAAGCGCTATCATTATCCTGTGGTATGATGGCGTTAGAAACAAAGATAAGAATGAGTCAGAAACCCCCCAAAAGAAATAAACTTACTATGATGGTACGGATCACATTCATTTGTAGTCCCAAGTACAAGCGCTGGGCTGCTGCGGCAGCCCAGGTCAAGGAGTAGACAGTGGCTAGTGGGTTGGAAAACCACAAGGCCGCACGAAGAATAGGGTCTTCAAACCGGGCCCACGGAAGAGCGTGGCGAAGAACCCAGATGACAAGCATTAGATTGAGGTTCTTCACACCAAAAGGTTGCTTCACAATAAATCGATCTAAATTGTTGCTCTGTTCCTTTTTAGCCTTCTGTTGCTCCGACCAAGTTTTATCGAGCTTCAATCCTTGCTTGATAGCCACATTTCGTTTCAAGCAGACTGGTCGAGTTTTGGCTCCATCGCGGTGGTCGTAAAGAGTCGGATAAGTATTTGGCGGTTTGGCAAACAATTTGGTACAAAACCGGCATCTGTAATATTGCAATATCCCAC